ACCATCTTCGGCGTCGTTGCGGGCTTTTGTCTGAAAGGAAGACTGAAGGCGTCTGACTTCGGGAGTTCTCTTGAAGGGTGGACGTCCTGGACAAAAGTGGCAGGTTGGCTTCGGGATCTGCTGCTGTGGGAAGTGTTTCTCTTTCCCGGCCTGGTGTCCTTGGAGGTAGGGACATCTCGGAGCTCCACTTCTCGGGTCCCATGTTGTAAAGCCTCGTTGGACCCGGACTTGCTTGTTGTTTAAAGAGACGGCACAGAGTTTCGACTTTTGGTACGATCTCTCGAAGGTTTTCTCTAGAGTCCCTTGAGGGAAGTGCCCATCAATGTCCCGCTTGTTTTTATATGCCTATGTCAGTTTGAAGTGTGGCAGCGTGCGGTGCCTCTGGGTTGAAGGAAAAGGCAAATTGCTCCAGCCAGCCAATCAGAAAGAGCGTAAAGGTCAGCGACAGGATTTGTCACCCTCTGGTCGAGGTCGAATTAAAGAGGTCGTAATATATCTGGCGCAGAAATACGGATTGTCTTGAGCCTGTTCCTTAACTCTGCTGTTTTTATGCTTTGACTGAACGGCCCCTTCGCTTCGCGGTCGTCGGTCTTCAGGGTTGGAGATGCAACTCGGTGGAGAAAGGCTGACTGACAGCCTCGTAGAGCGAGAGACCGAATCACCGAGAAGAATTGATCACCACTCTATTTTGGTCGATGTGCCAGAAAGAGAGAGAGAGGATTCAACTGGACGACGGTCTGCTCATCGACTCTTCCGTTTTGCAGCTCATCTCACCATGCTTCAGTCCTTTTTCCCCTGCAGCTTGATACTTGCCTCGACCTTTCGTTCTTACTTGTTCACGCTGCAGTCGATGACGTCTTGACGATTGAGAACTGGAAAGAGCACAATCAAGAGGAAGGCGCCTCCCACTTGATTGAGTCTCCATTAAGCATGTCCTCTCCATCTTCAATCTTCCTCTTCTTCATGTCATGTTCAGTCCAACATCGCTCACTTTCAAGCAATCCACTGTTGAGCCGGGCTGGTGCCGTCAACTCTTAGCAGCTGTATCCATTCATTCTGTCTCCATCTTTTCACTTCCTCAAGTCTTCCTTTCAATTGCACGGCTGCTCATCAACCCGGCACTCAAAATGCAGAGCAAACTTGTCCTCCTCTCTGCAATCCTGGCTTGTGGTTCAGCATCATTGGCCTCCGAAAACAAGGACAAACGCAGCCCTCTCCCAATCCAAAAGATCCTCGCCATGCCCAATCTGCCTGCTGAGCTTCGAAAGAGCGCAACAAACACGGACAAAAGATGCTTCACCATCAGTGGCGACAATTGTGGAGACACGTTAGAATTCCCTGCTTGCGCTGGAGACACAAATTCTGCGGAGTGTGTCCTCAATTCAAAGTGTGTCATCACCCTGCAAGACTGTCTGCCTGAGGCCAAGGTGCAGGCTCGCCAGGGGGGCGGCGGTTCGCCATTCGACCCTGAGCTCTTTGATGAACAACGCATTGAGGCTCGACAAGAACCAAGGATCAGCGACGAGATCCAGTCTGCTATGCCGGCTGAAATCAGGAATGCCATGCTCAATGATCCCAATGTTGCCGAGTCTCTCGCCAATGAATTCTCTGGGAGTTCGGTGCCGCAGTGGTACGCCCGACTGCCTGCGAGCGTCACCAATTACTATGCTACCATTACTCCTCCACCCACTATGATCGGTTATGCTGTCAAGGCCCCAACAGATGACCCACAACGGCAAAGCGTTGATGATTGGGTAGCGTCCATTCAGAGCTACAAGAATCTCATCGCTTCACTCTCTCGGGCAGCCTCCTCCGAGTCACAGTCGGCCAGAAGAATGTCAAGGGCGGCATCGGAAAAGTCCAAGTGGGCAAGCGAGGAAATGGATGGACAATTACAAACCAGCGCATATGAGCAATCAGTGCTGGCTGCGTCGATGTCGCGCGATGCTGCCCTTGAGTCAAGCTATGCCGCCTCGGCTTCTCGAACCATCTATGCAAAAAATGTGCCAACCAAACAAGGGGGTAGTGCATCAACAAGCGACACGAGACTGGCATTTGGATTGAGCATTGTTGCGGCTGTGGTGTGCCTTGGGTTGGCATTTGCTCTGTGAGCGGCTTGACTTCAAAACGTCGTTGCTGTGTGAAACGTTGGATGGATGGCCGGGCAGCAGTGTTCCGCATAAAACAGTCATCAGGTATTATTTTTAAGGAGTGACAAGTCATCATCACCTCCAACCGCCCACTCTTCCTTCATCCCAACGTGCTCGCATTTCTCTTCTCTTTTCCAATATCGTTGCGCCTTCTCTTATCCTTCTGACCCACTCGGTAACCTCCTTCTCACTCGCCTTCCCTCCGTTCGCACCTCCGTAATATGCATCATCATCGTTCCCACCCTCGAGGAAACTCTCTTGCATAGCTTTTAGCACCGCCTCCTGCTCATTAGTACTCGAGACCAGCCGCTGATACATCTGTCTCGGGCCCCAAGGCGCTAAAGCATCGTCCATTTCACTTTGTTTCCTGCGCCATTGGGTCTGCAGGCCCGTATGGTTTAGAAGCAACTGAGCTGTCTCGTCACGCAGGGCACGGAGTTGACTTTCCAGATGAGCAACCTGTTGAGCGAGTTGGACGTTTTGCTGGATGGCCCTTTCTAGAGGAATGAGCGAGGAAGCGTACGAGGGGTGTTGGGAGGCCAGGCTGGCAAGCAGGGACGGCTTATTGAGCAGCGGATGGAGTTCATTTAGAGGTTTATTGGAGACGTTTGGTGGAAGCCAGCGTTCAGAAATGGGCGGCGGGGGAATTGCTCGGTGTGGTTCTTGAGGGATTGATTGTTGTGATGACTGGAGGCCGGGAATGGGAGAGCTTGTCTGGTGCGGTTCAATAGGTAGTGGTGGTTGTGGACGTGGAGAGTCCACCTTGCCGGGCAGAGTTGGGGGGCCGGGAGCCGTGGTGGGTGTTGGTGCCAGAATAGGTGTTGCAGACCTGCTGGGGTCGGTGCTTTGGGAGAGATGAGATATGGGTTTTGGCGGAGGAGGGGGAGGTGGTGCAGCAACTGCGCCAGTCGGTGATGTTGGAGGTGGTGGTGAGATCGGTGCGACAGGGGGAATTGTCCCAGGTGTAGATGAGGTGTAGAATGACTCTGACATTGTCGCAGATCCAAAGTCTTCTCCTGCTCGAATGCGTGACAACTTCCGACTTTCTTTACATGCTGTACGGGACGAAGGTGTGGTGAGTAATAGCCTTGGGTGGTCTAGTGGAGTGGAGAAGATCGTCCAGCCTTGTGGAAGAATTGCGGAGAAGGACGAGGCTGAACAAATGAAATTCTCAGATTCGACTTCTTGCCTACTCGAACCTCAACTTCACGACCCCCATTCCTCTCTCTTTGTCTCTCCCTCCCTCTCATTTTCCATCTCATCCATCAGATTCCTCTCCGGCGAATATCTCCTGAAAGTGTGCGTATTGGTCCAGCTTACGCGCTTACACTTTCGGCCTGTCTCCCTCCGTCTCCGTCGTCGCATTCATCTTCCAGTCTTCGAATCGCGGCAATCTTCTCCTACAGCGGCCTCCTTTGGCGCGGAGGCCACGCTTGTTGATTGATTGCTTCTTGTCCTATCTCTACACCTACAATATAGTTCCCCAACCATGGACTACCAAAATCGCGCGGGCTCCAAGTTCGGGGGTGGCGGCGTAGCCTCGCACTCGGCCACAAACGCGGACCGTCGCGAACGGCTGCGAAAACTCGCTCTCGAGACCATCGACCTCGACAAGGACCCTTACTTCTTCAAGAATCACGTCGGCTCCTTCGAGTGCAGGCTGTGCCTTACAGTCCACCAGAACGATGGCTCTTACCTCGCACACACGCAGGGGCGGAAACACCAGACGAACCTCGCTAGAAGAGCGGCGAGGGAACAGAAGGAGATGCAAAAGGATGGAAATTTGATGGGCGCGGGGATGATGGGCGTGCAAGTACGCAAGAACATGGTCAAGATTGGGCGTCCGGGGTATAAAATTACCAAGATCAGAGATCCCCTCACGAGACAGGTCGGACTGCTCTTTCAGCTCCTGTACCCGGAGATCGCGCCCAACATGGAGCCGCGTGTCCGGTTCATGAGTGCGTTTGAACAAAAAGTCGAAGAGCCGGACAGGGATTACCAGTACTTGTTGGTCGCTGCCGAGCCGTACGAGACGTGCGGGTTTAAATTACAGAGCAGGGAGGTGGACAGGAGAGAAGGGAGGTATTGGACTTGGTGGGATGCGGATGCGAAGGAGTTTTGGTGTCAGGTTCTCTTCAAGACGGAGAGAGATGAGAGGTACTCGAACGTACCGGGCCTGGCACCGACGGCGGGAAAGAAGTGATAAGAGGTCACTGTGGAATGTGGCAGTGGAATGAAATGATGGACGCTGGGACTGTAGGTGCAAACAGTTCCAGCGTTTGCTCCACAGGGGAGAGATGGAGCAACTGTAATCCTACTTTGTGGACACCAACCAGTGCAGCTACCCAATTGGAATATATGTAAGGAAACCTGTCATGATCAAATACCGACACCTGCCACTGGTCGGCTGCAGCTTCAAATCGTGACCATCATGCGATGACTGGTGGTCCTTTAGATCCCTTCCCCTTGGGGCCATTCCTGGGCTGTCTCCCAATCTCTTGAACCACGTCACTCTCGCGACTAAATTGCCACCAACCGCCACTCGATATGTTTTTGGCCATGTTCCTGACTTGTCTTGATTTAAAGGGGCGCGCATTTCCCATTTCTTCCCGGAGTGCGGTCTGTGGGATTTCTGTTCATCGCGATGGCACAACTCCAATCCCATTCACGTGGTGAGGATGGCCTGGGGATTCTGTTGAGCCATCAGCTGCGTCGGCAGTCGACTTTATGCCTTCGGATTGGATGTGTCCTTGATGGGGGAATGCGGTCTTTGACTTTGATCTGGTTTTTCTCCTCGGAGCGCGCAATTCACCTTGAAGGCAATGTCAGCCATGTTCCGATTTCGAAATGTCAAGTTTTGGATTTGAAAGGACTGACACTGACATTTGGTTTCATGACCGTCTTCAGCACTGGCGCTGCTCGTCTTTTGACGTATCCCTTTCTCTGTGCACTGCCATTCAACTCCATGCCGCCACTACTTGTCTTGAACCCAATGCTTCTGTTCATACGATGATTCAAAATCAATGACAGGTGTTTCAGACTGGGTCCGTTGGTAAAGATCACGCCAATTCTTGATGTCTTTGGTTGGCTGTGAATTGCCGCAGTAGAGAACGGGGACCCAGCTGGATCAACGAAGAATTGTTCGTACCTAACATCCAATGTTGTACCTAGTGGATTTTTTTTTAGGAGTTTCAATGCCAAGAGGAGAGTATCCACGAGGACACCAGGATGCGTGTGCTGGAACTTTTGTTGGGAAAGGACCATGACGATTGGGGACCTTCAGCAAGCAGACGGCCAATTCACTGTATTTAAGACACGGCCGCCGAAAAAGAGTAGACAGCAGTGGAATTCTGAGGGGCATGGCAGGCAGCCAAGTCGGTGACCACGCGAGGAGGATCAAACAGATTGTCCGTTGGGGGGAGATGGGATCCCCGTTGGTGAACAAACAGGGGAAGATTGTCATTTGCCTAACGCAACATTGACAAGATCGAGGAATCCGGGGAAAGCTGCACCCGAAACCTGAATATCACCTTTTTAGGCTTCATGGCTTTGGAGGAACTCCACTTGGTCCATGTAAGTCTGCTTCCATTGTGGCCAGAGCTGTGATAATTTCATTGCTGAGCTTCAAGTTGCCCGGCCCTTTGGCGAGCACAGATACCTCCTTAGGTGGGAGCTGAGTTCTGCGGATACGCAGGCTGCAGAAGTTCCATGAGTTTCCAACACACGGATCTTCCAGGGCCTTGCAGACGTTGGTGTTGTGGCTGGTTTGGCGTGGGTAGGCTGAGTTCCCATTGCGAGCACGTCCTTTATGGTGGCGACGTTCATTTGATCGGGTATCTGGTGAGAGCTTCCGTCTTTGATCCAGTTCCTGCGAGGCGAGGGCTGTACCCGCTTGAAGCGACCAGCCGTAATGCCGAGCGTATGAGAGCAATTTCCTCTCTGGTGGGACAATCGTCAACGGGAATGGTCGGTGCGATGGTTAAATCTTGAGCAGAGAAACCAATTTCCTAGTTCAAAGCGGACTAATCGGTAGAGAAGGCCTTCGGATGGCTGGGGCAGCTAAACCTTCTTGGTACCGCTTTCTGTAAAGAGGCGGTATGCACCTTGTATGTCTCAGGGGATTCATTTTAACTGAGTCACTCCTCCTTTACTTCCATTTGTACCCCGTATACTCTGTACCGTGGTCGGTTCTCTTGGGGAGGAAACCGGCCACATCCTGGTTGTGGAGCAACTCGTCTTCGGCTTCCCAAGCTCTTTGACTCTTTGACTAGGGCTCGATGCATTGTCCAGCCTTGACAGCGGAACGCCGTGTAGGTGACTCGAGGTTCCTGTGAATGCATGGTGTTTCAGTGGTTTTGCGGTCAACGTCGGTTGCAGGCGATTGTGACTTTGTACTCGGTGACCATGTCATTTTGAGCCTTTGCCCATTCTGACGAGGCAAAATGACTTGCAGCATCCATGACAGACTCCAGGCATAACAGGCACCTGCTCGAAGCTGCTATGATAATCCGGTTACAATACACTCGTAGATTATTCGGTAAGTCTCAATCAGCCCGAGTGGGTAGGGCTGGACGGGTGCTAAGTCTAATATACTCCGCACCTCGTCTCCAGCAATGCCGCGCTTGTCCGCCTTACAAGGTACATATACTGCCAAGGTTTGACTTGGTGCATGTTGTTTTCAACTCCCTCCCTGCCCCTTCTACTAGTCCAACTTGCCCATCTTGGCTCCAGCCTTTACCCAAGAGAACAATCTAAACAATCCAAATACTTCTCTTCGTGGCCCGCAAGATCAGCTGGTGGGAATGTGCTCTATGCACAACTCCACTCACATCAAAAGCTTCTGGGCGCTGAATCTGTTCGGGCAACTTCGGCGAGATTCTTCCTTCGTCTCATGCATCCCTTCATCTCTCCTCTCGACACTCACTGGTTTTGGCCTCTCTTGCTGACCAGCCTGCCCGACAGATAGCTCTTGTATGCTCCCCCAAAGTGAGTGAAAGTTCTTCGCAAAAACTGATCCCATAAAGCGTGGTCAGTTCCCCGGCATGGCAGCGTCCTGTCTCCTAGCTCCTCGGATTGGGCGCCTCGTCAATGGCGCTGGATGTCATATATGCAACGTGTCTTTCAGGCTCATTCGTAGGTTTTGCACTCACACCTCGCATTGCTGACCGGTGTGCGTGGGTAACGTCTGCGATGCTGTCGTTCCTCCTGGACGGTTGACCTGCATTCTCGAACGATCTTGGATTGGTGGGAATCAGCAGGGATGGCGCCGAATCAATGCCACAGCCTCATTATCGACACCCAGGCTATCCCGCTCACAGAGGCCAGTGGTCCTCACAGGTTTTGACAGGACAATTGCAGCCCAACGAGCGATGTGTCTTAAAGAGAGAAGCCCTCCTGGCCAGCTGAGACAGCCTGGCTTTCACCCGTTTTCTGATCTCCTCGAGTTTCCTAATCTTACACCATCCTTGTCGGTTCCAGTATCTATCACCATGGAGGCTGTAGGTCTCGCACTTTCTGTTGCTCCCTTATTGGGAGGCAGTGTGAAGATAGTACGATTCTACCATAGATGGAAGCGTATTCACGATGATCTCGATCGAGCAGCGGCACGTGTGGAAAAATTGCGTACTGTTTGCGAAGCCCTATCAGTCCTCGACGGCGATGTCCCAGAACAGTGCAGACGACTTATTTCGGACCCAGCTAGGATTCTTACCTCGATGTCAAGACCACTGCCCAAGGCAATCACAAAGCGCTCCATGAAGAGTTGCTTACGTTGGTTGACAGCCGATAAAGCAGTATTCGAAAGATGTTTATCAGAAGTGGAACAAGATCTCTCAATGGCTGAGTCTCTCTTGCTTATACAATGGTAAGAACCCCTTCCAGATCGACGTCGGAGGAACTTATACCTTGATGCAGGTTTGCCGCTCAGAGGACGAATGACTCAGGCAATGATTTGTTACCGCCCACTGAAGCGGCTTCAGAGCCGCAAGGAATTGGAATAACCGTAACCGAGGTTCAGAAGTGGGCTACCACGAAGGACAAGGGGCCGGGAGTGCCATTTCGTTTCCATCATTGCTCGTGCCCTGGTCTGTTCAGCGCCGGAGTGATTGAGAATGTTTTCGATCTACGTAGCATTCTCTCGAGCATCGTCGCTTCGATCCCATCTCTCAGGATCGTGACTAAGCCTTATGGTTTCATTCATGATTTGCCTCAGCTTCTTACATATTTGGGGAGGATTTTGTGTGGTTTGGTCCGGCGCCGCTGGTTGGAACCTTCTCCTAACCAATGGCGTCTCCTGATGTCGCATGAGGTGTCTTCAGACCACGAATTCCTGAAGGCGTCTCAAGAGGGCGATGTTGTGAGAATGCAGCAACTTCTTGTCCTACGACGCGCCTCTCCGTTCGACATCACTGCGGAAGGGATCACACCTTTGTGTCTCGCAATCCAATATGGTCAGCTCGAGGCTGTAAGATTGCTGCTTTCTCAAGGAGCTCTCGTCAATCAAGCTTTCGGGCTCAAGCAGACAAGTCCACTGTGTTGGGCACTTAAGCATCGACAATTGGAGATATGTAGGACACTCCTGTTCTATGGAGCATCTTTCGACCATTCCACCGTCTATAACTGGTCACCTCTATACTACCTATGGCCCTGGCACATGCCAGAAGGCTTTCGACATCCCCCAGCAGCAGATTTCATCATCATGTTACGCGCTAAAGGTGAAGACTTCGATCTGTTGCACGAAAAGCGCATCGACAATCGTGGTTGGAGCCTTCTGCACCGTGCAGCAATCTTTGCAGATCCCTCTGACTTACAACTATTGATGGACTATGACGTCGATGCTTTTCAGCCGTTTGACGGTGTAGGTTGGACGTCACTGCATTTGGTGGCCTGGTACGGCATTTACGACAATTTTTCCATCCTATTCCGGGCGTACGAAAAGAAATACGGCGTGGACAATGCTCTTGGACTCCGGGACTCCACAGGTTGGACACCTCTGCACCTGGCCATCTCGAATGGGCACTTGGAGCTTGCCCGCCTCCTCTTGGAGCTAGGTGCCGACCGCAAAGCTCTGACAGATCCGATCGCGGACAAAAATATGCCAGAGAGCATCCAGGGCAAGAGATGCTCGCCCAAGGAGCTCGCGTGGGCGCTTGGCGAAGAACAAGGTCAGCGGTTCGAAGACATCGTCGCCGACGTTCCTGAAGATCAATGGTCCGACGCCCCTGAATATCATCCCGAGGACAATGTTGCCGGCGCAAAACCCTTGAAGCTCCACGGGCGATTGCCGAAAGAGGTGGGGTGTTATGCAGCTGCCTTCATTCGTCGCTGTCGTCGTTTGCGACGACTGATTGGTTGAAACTCGGGCCTCGAAGAGCGCTTGCACTTATTACGATATGTCTTTTGGTTCTGAGATGCGGAGAGAGTGCTAACACACATTTAACTCGCTCATGAAAACAAGATCATAGCATTGCACGAACGTCACCCGGTTCTATTTACGATCTCACTTTTCTAATGAGATGTTCTACGTTGAAGGACCTGTGAATCCCGCCCCGCCCCCCCACCGACAAAAAAAAATTCATCAAAATACTTGGTTCATGGCTGTCCTTTTTGAGTGGATACCTTGTCGACCACCCATGATCGAAGCCGGCAATTTTGGAAAGCTCAACCACGACTTGCACATGCTGATCGTTGTGCTCGCTTTTGCCAGGCGCACCCCAAACGAGCTTCTCGACCTTGCCATGGTTGCAACAATGTGGTTTTGCCCTCCAAGTCGACAGACCTATTCCTTTTCGCCCAGCCTTGCAGCCACTCATAGATGCGTCCGTCGACCCTTCCGGCGTGTGTTGTCGTCATAGTGGATCAAGGGTCTGCGTCACGATGGAATTCAAGGATGGGCGCAGGGCGGCGTGAATGGTGGCATATGCTAAACAGCGGTTCCTTGAGCGCGACGTCCTGATAAACCGCGGCCCGAAGACATAGCGAAGCCTGCGATGCGGCCGGACGCTCTGGGTCGCACGCCAACAGCCCAGCGAGCCCCGCACCGGTATTGAATCCAGCAATATACACCCGTACGGCGTCCACAGCGTAGTCACGCATGATATGGTCGATCAGGACGTCGATGAATCCAACGTCATCCACCTCGTCTCGAGGCGGGGCTTCCGGGTCGCCAGTCCACTGTAGATCAACGCACTCGGGGTACCCGAGGATAGCGTACAGATTGAACGCCGCATTGGGGAGTTGTGTATGGTACTCCAACTCTTTGGTCGGTTGGTCCTTGCCATGCAGTGCGACCATCAACGGACGGGGCACTCTGGCCTCGTAGTATGAGTCGGGGACATGGAGCCAGGCGCGTCGTTCTGGCGGCCGTATACTATCCGTCCTTTATATTGTAGGGTGTCGTTCTCTGAGTTCCCGATGTGGAGGGTGGGGCATCTCCTCCCGTTGCGGTGGCCATCATAGACACCGGAGGATGTATACACGAGAAGATCTGGGGGCCAAGTAGTAATGGTTGGGTATTTGTGCATGTCAAGAGACGATGGTACCAGACAGTGCTTCCAGGGCCTGAGATTTGTGACGTTAAAGGAATGCGTGGATCCCAGTATTTGCCTTCCTGCATTGCCATCAAGAGATTGCTCGGTAGTAACGTTGCGGAGAAAAGACATAGCACAGGGTCAATGTATTCGAGTTGAGCTCACCATATCGAGCAGTTGTATGGTCAGTGCCAGCCTTGTTTCAGAATCGACGTGTGAATGCTCGTCCGTTCCATAGCCACAACCTTCCATCGCCCCCCTTTTGAATGGTATTTCCCTCACCGGGCACGCCTTCGCCATGCATTGCAGAGAGACAAAACCATGGTTCCATGATCATCACGTATTTCAGCGTATCGTCCTGTTATAATTCCAGGCTCACCCCACCATCACCGTCAACTAGATTTCTGCGCCTGGCCCTGTAACATGACATCCCCAAACTCTTTGAGACTGAAATCTCGGTCGACAATGTTATCCCACGCGCGCTGCCTCTCCTCCTGTGCCTTCTTGTTGCGCCATGCCCAGCCAGGCTTGCCTGCCCCGTCTCGCTCATCCGGTGATGTCGACGCTGCCTGCCCCTGTCCTGCTGCTTCAGACTCCGTCGGCATAGCAGCAACCCTCGCTGAGCTGCGCGTCGCTGAGCCGTTGGCCATTGTTTGTGATGTGCTGGGAAGCTGCTGTTGTTGTGCTGTGGTGTCCGCGCCCCGGCCCTTCACACGAGATCGTGGTGGTGACAGTTCGCCCAGTGCGGCTGCGTTGAGGTGGTCGTTTGCAGGAGTATGAGGACGGTCGCTCAGAGGGTTGTCTGTGCCATTGTTCAAGTCCTCGGGAAAGAGGCTGTCGTCTTCGAACCCTTCCTCTGCGTCGATGATGTCGTGGAGCGCTGACGGTGAGGAGGAAGTGGATGTGGTCATTGTCTCGTCCAGATCCATCACTGCCGCTTCACAGATTCAACAGATACGTGTGAACCTGATGTCGTCCTTCGACTGTGAGAGGGCTATGTCTTCACTTCGGGTTCGGACTGGGAGTTGACGTGACGATCGTTCTCGTCGATGACAAGAATTCACGTCATGCGGAGTATATCTCCTTGGGCGGAAGACATGGGGGCACGCCGTTCGGGATTCCTGCTGTTTCGGGAAGAGGATGATGCCGCCCTATTACCTGTCTGGCACAACCAGAATCTGAATCTAGGCATCATCTTTCGTCTGCCGCCGATCAGCGAGCGCCTCAGTTCCAAGGAGACCGATTCGAGGAGGAGCGGATTGTCCAGATCGCAGCAACTCTTTCCGTGGACCTGTGAAACGATGCCGAACAACCGAATCAAAACTTATCTATGATCAGCTTAAGGGAACCAGACGGAGAGGTTGCCCAGTGAGCCAAGGTGCCTCGAAAATGATTGATTGACTAGGTCTACTATACCTTCTATCAAACAGAATAGCCTACGACATAGCGATCAAGACCATTCCGATCCTGAGAAGATGTGACGTGGCGCGAAATGCAAGAGCAGGAGCACTCTTCAGGGTGGTGTGGTCCAGCCATTGCGGCATGACTGCGTCCTGACGGAAGTGTGATTAATTGTAGCTGTACTAGGGGCCGCCATAAGCACTGGGATGATTGATAACTTTGTTGTCGTTGCTGATGATCACTCCCATTCTATTTCGCATTTCCCTGCATATTTTATCGCTGAAATGTTGCAGACAAGAATTCTATCTGAAAAGATTGGTTCAAATTGAACACGAAAATAGGGATTCCGCTTCGGCCTTGGAAGACCCGGGAAAAGGTCCAGAGTCTCCCGACAAAACCAATGCTCCGCTGAATGGCTCACGGTAAGCGACAAGCGACAGGCAGCACCCCGCAACTAGTGATGCAGATCAGAGTCCAGAAGCTTTTGCAGACAAAGGCAAAAGGGTTCGACCCTCTACATGGTATCTTTTCGTAGAGGTGCTTCTATCCATCATAACCAGAATCAGGCGTCAACATAAACTCACTTGGGGTGTCCCATTGAAAGGACCCTTTCTCTGGATTTTCGTTGCCTGGACTGGGCTGTTAGCCTCGCATTTAGCAGCTGCGGCTATTGGTTTCGTTTTATTTGCACCTTTACAGGCCGTTCAAATTTGAATATGTCTTTGGGTTGCTGTTTCTGCAGGTCCATAACACCATGACTCTATTCTAGTGGAGCTGCATATTATTGACCACAACCAGGATGGTTTGCCGATATGACCATGATGACTGTGGCGCCAATTGGTATCACGTTTTCCGCGAGGTTGTCATAGCGACAACGATGGCCGCGGCGTGCTCTTGGTTGAATGCATTATCTTGAAAACTGCCCCCCTGAGAGTTATATCGGCGTCATTCCGTCACAAATATCGGAAACAAGAATATAATATTCACCTCATCTACTCGATCAGCATGCGAGAATAACATCGGAACACAATTCGGAACGGCATATACAAGGGCTTTCGAATTTGCTGTGGGGCAGATACAAAACCAAACCCACCAGGTCCAGATCATACTAGAGATTTGTGGGAACGTCGATCATTTTGGTGGTTCTTCACTCAACACCGCATTGACAAGCACGATAGAATCGAAAATTGCAGACTCACTTCCAGATTATGTTTTGGGCAAGGAGCTTGATGGACCCCCTGAACAAACTGAATAAAATGGCTGATTCGTGGTTGGAAGGCGCTGGAATCAAGACGAGACATACTTCTACCGCAAAGACATCCTGGAGAGACCCAACCGGGAAGCGAAATCAGAGCAGAGATCACTGACGGAGGAAGACATCAGAAAGCTGCTAGATGAAGACAACAATGGTACCATCACAAGAAACGAGCTAATCCACTATATCGGGGATCTTACTCTGGTTGGCAAAATTAGTCTCGGAGCTAGAAGTGAAGGACTTGTCGCCCTTGGCTCCATTTTTTACTTTCCATTTTCATGACGGCCTGACAGAGTCTTCTATAGCACACTTCCTTAAGGACAGTCAAGGGTATGAAGAATACAGAGAAGTGGTAACGATACATGTATTGCGAGCAAGTGTTCTCCAAACAACCTTGTACGAGGCCTTGTGCCCCTACTGGGTACACCGGTGGGGCCCACTATTTATTGACCATCTGCGAACCTTCTTTATTTAGTTCACTTCTCCCTCGCTGTCACACTCTTGACAACGTCGACCTACCACAATGGATGGACCTCACAATCACTCAGGCGGCAAGGCTCAGACTGCGCACTTTCGCCAGGGTGTACTGAGCTTCTCTTCGACCGGAAAGCTGCAGACACGTCCACCAACAACTCCCAAGACCCGAGACCGAGACCAGTTGGTGAAAGTTGCCAAAGAAACAATTTCAGTCTTACCTGGCCTCCTCCTCACACGGCCGGATGCAAAGCCAGATGGCTATCTCTACGAAAACGACGCTGTCACGCCGCTCGATCAAATATTCTGTCCAAAACTACCAAAGACAAAAGTTCGTGTGCTCAGCAGCGACACCATTGATGCTGCCCTCCAACTAAGCCGCAGTCCATCCCAGAAGCCGGTCTGTGTCTTGAACATGGCAAATGCGATTCACGCAGGCGGCGGATTCAGAACCGGTGCCCTCGCCCAAGAAGAAGCCCTTTGCTACCGCACTTCTCTGCACTTCACTCTCAAACTTCGCTTCTATCCAATTCCAGACAAAGCCGCCATCTACTCTCCCACTGTTCTTGTGATCAGAGACAGCCTGGCAAACGGCCATAAATTCCTCGACTGCCACGATCCCAGCCGGCTCCCGGTCATTAGTGTCGTCAGTGCAGCGGCCATTTTTCAACCGAGCCTTGGCTATAACACAGCACAGCCTAACCAGGACGGAAGCAAGTTTTACGCCAGGCGAGAAGATCGCAATCTGATGAGAGAAAAGATCCGGATCATCCTGCGAACCGCCATCAAGAATAGACACCGCAAGATCGTGCTTGGGGCTTTTGGCTGTGGAGCATTCCAGAACCCACCGAAAGAAGTGGCCCGTCTTTATTCAGAGGTGCTCCAGGAACCGGAATTCTCTGGCGGTTGGTGGGAGGATGTTGTCTTTGCCGTGCTCCAACAAGGCTCAGCGGACAGCAACTTCAAGTGGTTCTCAAGGGAGTTGGATGGCCTGTTAGTCTGAAATGGGAATGGATGGCAGTCGGGCGGCGGCAGGTCTGTGATTAAGCGAGAGGTTACATTGAGCCTGCGTGGCTAGGGAATACCTGTTTCGATGAGCAGGAGCGGCACATCCTTGAACATGCCAGGTCCCATCAACCCAATTCCAAAGTCCGCTTCGGTTTTGACCATTGATAGAAGATCAAGGAGACTCTTTCGTCACTGGTATGGCTTGTCGACATCGCGGTGCGCAAAAACTACTATATCATATTGTTACCATCAAGGTGACCCGTATTAGGCCACGTATTTTGCGCAAACGAGTGATGGAGGTAAGCACTGTTGCGGTACCAGAAATACAACACGAACATGATCCATGTCCTCGAGGAGATCGTCCCTACCGGACATCTCACGAAACACTTTTGAAACCACTTTTCTTCGTAGCCTTCTTCGCTGAGTAAGGTATAGCTAACGGTGCCGTCTAGGGATTCTCCCTCGTGTATTTGCCACTTTGCTGAGCCTTACGTCTGCGACTGTCGATGATATCTTTGACATCCATAATTTTACAAAACGGAAAGGGGCAACGCAGTTTAATTCTACTTCCCAGGCCAAATGCGCCTGCAACCTTACTGCCCATCAAGGAGTTCAAGCGGGTAGTGTCGCCCCCTTCTCAAACGACACAATGTCCATCCCTAACGTGCCCGGTGCAGGGAGGGTGGTGGTTCAAAAGCCCGAGCGAAGGACGATGTTCTCTTCTAAACGTCTGCTTCTCTGTGAAATGGAACTTCCTGGTTAGTCCCCGACCATGAGCTGCTCTGGGTAAGGGGGAAGTGAAAGGGAAACCAGCTTTGTTCTCACAGCGGTATACAGCGTTCCGTTTTCCAACGCCGACAGCTGCGCGTGATGGTGCTCCCACTCCGACCTGGCATATTCGAGCCTCATGGACGACGAATGCGTTTCGGCGCTGGTTGCGGACAAGGGCAAGCGGGCGAACGGTAAATAAAGAAGCCACTGTTGTTGCTGTGGCTGCTGAGCGGGCGTGATGTCGTTGGCGTGAGGCGTTGCTGTCAGCCCAATAGCTGTGAAGGGAAGTCGCTTGTTGCGGCGCAAATACCGCCATAGGAAAGGCAAGGTCGGACCACACATGACCAATAAAGCTATAATGCCGACAATGGTTTCACTTGAGATGGCCATAATCTATTGGATGAGCGTCGATGACGGTTCTTTTTATTGCCAGCCTTGTCTTTGGGCGCCTGCACAAGCAGAAATAGACGTTGAAGGAAGGGGGCATGTTTCTACACCTATATATACACATGCTGTGGCCATGTTCTTTTCCCTCGCTGAAGGTTTCGCCGTCGAAGAAGACATTACTCGACTTCCTCGAGTGGGCACCAAGGTCAAGGCATCAACTCGACTAACACTTTTGATGGGTTTTGATCCCCATGCAGCTAGTGGCTACACGTTCCCCAAGCGCCCAGAATGTTGGTGTGAAAAATCCACAGCTAACCCCCAGACGCTCCACAGCCCCTAATCACCGCGTGTGCTGCTGTGACCGTCACAATTAGTGACGCCATCATCCCCGCATGCAGGTGCCATCACGCGCTTGACTAGCCATACTCAAGCGATGAGCTTGTTTCCTTGCAGCAGGCGTCCCCAGGGCGGCCGAACCCGAGTTCCGAACTTCTCAATCACCCGTCATCTTCCTTAGCTCGGGTCACGTTCCATGTTCAGGAACCCATCGTCGAAAGTCCTTCACTTCTTGCAGGGGTGGGAACCGAACACCAAGCGAACCTAATTTCCGTGCCGCGATTTCTACAGGTCAGTGTTTCGAATTGACAACTGGTGACCTCCTAGATGTTCACTCGGCCAAGTGGGCGTCCCCAGTTAATACCACGACAACTCCAACATCTCAGGCATAATCCCTTCTCACAAAGGTTAACTGCCACTTGTTAGTGCCACACCTAGAAGACACCCGCTTGCGTCAACACGCCAATGCGCGGCCGCGGCCCCTTATTGGATACCCGATGCGGGAGGATTGCGAACAACCAGGGAAGGAGAGGGGGTGGGTTAGTTGCGCCCCTATCATGGCCCAAGGACGGTGAGGCAGTCAGTCGGGATGGTTAACCTGCAGGCCGTGAATCTGCCGGTCGCGAATCTGCTGGTGCTGAATTCTGCAGGCACTAAACCTGCAGGTGCTGAATCTGCAGGTCATGAATCTGCCGAGGGAGACAGTAGGCTTGTGCCCAATATGAGGCTGAGCACATTATTGGCTGCTTAAGCCACACCTGGGAGACGTTCGAGTGCTTTGGCACATGTAAACTGCTGTTATTGAACGTGCTTATGAAGTGGCCATCCCAGGCGAGGAAGGATTCGGTCATCTATGTAACTCACCAGGGAGAGGTCGTATTCTGTTTCCTAGTAGTAGGTCTCGCATTCACGACACTAGAAGATTGCTCTACCCTACGACTTTCGTCATCTTCAGAACGCCCTTCCCTGTGCCTCCTGTACCCGCTTCATTATCCCGTCGATATCCTTTTCGACATCGTCCAACTCCCTCTTGACCACCTTGACCACCTTCAGCGACCTCGGAATAAACCTGACCGCAAATGGCTCTGGTTGCGAATTGAACCCGCTGGTGAATGCCATGTCATCGATCTCGACTTCGTGCCCTTGCTCATCGAGACCTTTGTTGATCTCAAATGCCCAGAGAACTCGCGAGATAATGATGAACAGGCTGTTGTTGCTGATGTGTTGCCCAGTGCATGCTCTCCGACCGAACCCAAACGCATACAACGGCAAGTCCGGGTTTTCGAGCCACCGTTCCGGTCTAAACTTCATGGGCTGAGGGGATATAGATTCGTCCATGTGGATGGACCAATGGTTTCCTATCACTGTGGCGCTCTTGGGAATGCGATATCCCGTGTATTGGTCTTCCTGCATCACAGCGTGGGGGGTACCTCCTGCGCTGACTGGTCGCCAGCGGAGAACCTCTTTAACCCCAGCGTTGATATAGGGTAAGGAAACTTGGTCTTCGAAACTACGTAACCGAACGGGGCCGACTACCCTGTCGAGTTCCTATTGCGCGACTTGGATAAAGCGAGGCTGTGTGGCGGCTGCAAGGGTGAATACAAGCAATGCGATTTTGGAGGTATCTAGCCCGGCTTCATAAATGATGCCGACGTTATAGGCGATGTCCAAGTCAGGCACTTCCTTGGATTCCTTCGTCGAACAGATCTGTTTCGTCATATTCCATGATGGCGTCTTTGCCGCATTGCTCTTGTTGGCCATATGCAAGCTGGATTCGAGTCTGAAGAATTTCTCTGCCGTCTTTTTCCATGGAGCAAGTCGTTGTGGAAGATAATTCAAGATTGGGATGGCGTCGGTTATCCACGTCCCTAACCGTCCCGCGAAGAGGAAGTTCGCATTGACGGTGTCGGCGCCGAGGATTTCGGACTCTCTCCCGGTGAGACTTCTTTTACCGTATGCGAGGGAAAACATCACGGATGCTGTATAACGGCGGTAGATTTTGACAAAGTGATTGTCCGACAGGCATTCAAAAAGTAGTTGCTTACTTTCTAGATCCTGTAGAGGTTTATATGTCTGAGACACACAGATGTTCAAGACAGAGGCCTGGATCTTGGTGTGAGTCCGCCACTTCGAGCCGTAGGTCATCAGCATAATATGACGTCCCTTGGAGACATTATCGTCGGCCATGACGAATCGCGGCTGTTGCTGTAGATGTTACTCCGCTTCTCAAATAGATCTCGTGCAGACTGGTGGGTTCCCAGCATAATAACCCTGCTGAGGCCGTATTGAAGACTAAAGATTGGTCCGTATTTCTTGGTCCATTGCTCGTAGGTGCGCCAGGGCACCTTGTCGGGCGCCTGGTGTAGGTTTCCTATTAGAGGAAGATGGGCAGGCCCTGGAGGGAGGTTCTTGTACCGCCGGTGCTCAAAATAGCGCAGGAAGATAATGGATATCAGGGCTAGACACAGGGCCAAATAGACGGAATGCATGTTGACTTCTTAAGCTTCGAAGGGGTCCGGCAGATTCGCTCTTTCCGGCTCGCTGAGGGGAAAGAGAATACGCTTATAAATTGTGGGAGGTACTTCGTCGAAACTCATCAGCTCCGCTTAGACTGTCCCTGCTCAGAATCGGAAGACTTGCCCTTTGTAGCCTTCTGGGATGCCCCGAGCCGGTGTCTCAAATCCATGTAATGGTGTCTGGGTAAGATTTCTCGTATTGTCCCGCATACCTCAACCTTGTCCAAAGAGAGGGCCTCAGCAGCAAGTCGGTACGTCGTGGGGGTGGAGACGAATCGATCAAACTCAACCGTGTCGCCAGAGTAAGACCTAGTCTTGTGGGTTGACTACTATTTTCTACGTAGGAGCAGGCGTGTGGAGTATGTCGGCAATTCCCCTTGAATGCTCTAGTGGACGTAATAATAGTTAAACTGCATGCCTAGCTAGATGTCATTTAGATTTGACTCAGATTCCGATCTTCGGGCCGTTGACCGTTCATGCCCCATATTACCTGAGGTCTAAGTGCGACATCCGAAGATTGAGATCAATGAGAGAATACTTACCTCCTCATCGTTCCTTTGTCGATCCCTTCCCACATGATAACGCGAGTAAAGGCTTGTGGTTCCGCTCACGTTGCGAGCAGGGTTCAACTGAATAGTGTAGCGGTTGATTCAACTTTTCAGCGGAAAGCGGCTGTACGTTAGTAAATCCCATAAGACGGCGAGGATGTAGAAATGGAGATACCTCGTATTCGGCGGACGTTGCTTGCTGAATGTCCTCATTGAGCCTTGGGTGGAAGTTATCATGATCCTATTCCAGCCAAGGCGCTTTGAGGTGCTCTGCACTAGCCATGAATAGATTCTTGTGTTCTTTCTTTCCTCTGTGGCAATTCTAAATATGGAAAATCACAAAACTTAGGTCAATCTTCCCCATTGCATAGATGAGTGTATCTGCCTGTTGTCCAGCTACCATCTCAAAGAAAGTCAGCACCAAACGATGGGTGGACAATGTTACTTGCAGTTAGCCACATGCGGTGATGATCTCCGACGGCAAAGGCTTCGCGGAGATCTCAATCCACCCTTGGGCCCAAGTCAGGATTGGTGGTCAGCAACCTCCGTCGATTTCAGGCGGTGTTCCCTTTGGCCGCACTTTGTAGAGCTGACGAGCCATTTCAACTCCTAATATCATGCCCACAGTCTCTCCTAGTGGTCCCCATTTCCTTGCTGATTGGTAGTCAATAATTCTCGGAGCTGACGTTTGCCCCTGAGCAATATGCACGTCTGAATCGAGCATACCCATAAAGCCATTGGCTATCGAGCTGTAGAAAGCAGGAAGGTGCTGACACATTCTATGCGCGTATAAGATCCGTAGGGCGGCATCAACCCGGCCAGTTCTCTGTCATTTGCAACTCTCATAAATATCGCAGGTATCACTGAACCAGATCAAGTACCGTGAATCTGGTGTCGATGAATGTCTTTTCGAGGCAAGAGGTTCCTCAAGCGTAGTCGCGCTGAATGTTAGCGTCTTGGCGGTTCCTCGGAGCCATGTTTTTCCGGGAGAGGCTTCATCACCGACGTCAAGACTCCCATCTGGACAGCTTGCTGTTAACGAGATCCTGCGACACAGTCCAGATGATGATTCGACTCTGAGTTCTTCCATCTCAGTCTCTGGTACCGCTTTTAGGGCAGCTGGATGCAGACCATAAAGGATAAGGTCTCCGACGCCCCACCAACCATACCATATATTACATCAACGTGATGGACACCACCAGACTTCGGAAAACATTCAAGTATCCCTCTGAGGATGATGGAAATATGTCGCACGAAGAAATGGATGAAGAAGGTATGTATATTGGCGCAATGAGCGATGGCTACGATTCCCGCTGCTGGAAATCCGGAGCGCCAGGAATCAGCCGAGCCGTTTTTCTACATTGTTGCGCCTGTAGATGGGCAGTTTCAAAAAAATCCTGACATATTGTTCTCATACGATCGAACAGAACAAGAAAACCTCCTCCAAAACCTTCAGGCCTCGGAGACTTCCACAAATGCAATCTACACCATGCTATTTACGGCCCTGCCTTTGATTGTCACCCTCCCATTCATGTGGTATCTCTCGATATCGACTTCAAGAGCCATGGCGTTTCTGTGCCTATTAAGCATCACCTCACTCATCTCCAGCGCCTATATCATGTACATGATCCCTACTTCGACCCCATTAGGATCTCTGTCCGTTCCGCCGCGGACCTCCCCTGTCACACGACAGAGACAGGCGCACGGCACAGGATTGTCTCAATCAGCCTTCCTCTTCACGTCCACGGAAAGTCCCATCAATCAATACCTGCCTTACCTCAACGCTTTCATCGGTGTGCTGCTATTTATTGCGTCAATGGGTTATCGCTCACGGAATGACGTGCCAGAGGCGCTGTGGCTGTTTTTGTTGCTTCCTGGCCTCATTTTTGGAATGGTCTTTATAACTAGGAGGAGTATGTCGGAGGTTCATGCGGGACTGGCTGAATTGCAGGGGTTGAGGTATGATTATAGGGGAGCCTGAATGTGTTTGGCAGACACTTGCCCGAGGCGGCTTTGTCACTAAACATATCCAGGATTTGTGTTTCCCCCCCCTTTCTTTTTCAATGATGGCACCCGTTGTCTGTTCATGAATTCATAGGAGTGAGCGTTTAATGGGACAAGATTGAATCTCCATAAACAGCTATAGGATACAGTCAGGCCTTGGTAGCCTCAGTGTATTGATACAATTGGACTGAAAGCTGTGTGTAGCTGTATCATGTGGGGATCTTCGCAGGCTCTGCTTCGACCACTGTTGCTTCTATCTTGGATGGTTTCGGCAGCTGGGGGACTTCCGGCCAAGGTTTCTTCAATGCATCTTGGATCATGACCAGACATCCTTTAGGGCCACTCACAGCTCCTGCGCACGGTTCATTAGCATTGACGAGCCGTCTTAGAGCATGGGAATAGGGACTCACCATGTACAACGACAATCCCGTTCTCTGCGTCCGCCTGCAAGACCTTCAAATTCTGCACCGTATTCCTCTGTCCACCCATGTTCCCGGCCATCTTCTTACCGGGATATACACGACTACCACCTCCTTGACTCGGGCCCACTGAACCATGGGACCTGTGACTGAGGGAGTGACCGTGGCTTCGTGGTTGACCTTTGAAACCCCATCTCTTCATAGGACCTGCGAAGCCCTTTCCTTTGCAATTTGATCGAGTGTCCACAAACTGTCCGGCAATAAACCAATCGGCTCGTATCTCCTCGCCTACTGGTAACAGTCCTTCTGGCCCTCGGACGCGAAATTCGCGCTGATACCTTTTGGGGCTCACGCCTTGGACAGAGTAGTGGCCAAGCATGGGCTTTGCCACATTCTTAGGATTAATTGTGCCGCTGCCAATGCAGACCGCATAATATCCATGCCTTTTCCGCGTCTTGTGGCTAACAACTTGATTTCGATCCAACTGTAAGACTGTACAAGGTATTCTCTTTCCAGATTCGACATCATACACCGCAGTCATGCCCTTCTTGATTGCTAGAGCTCCTGACCGTAAAGGAAGCGTGTCTGATCTCAATTTTCGTTCGAAGGCTGCGGCAGGCGTGGAAAGCAGCGGTTGAATGCCTGGGACGACATTGTAAGGGTTGTGCTTTGGCTGTCGGTCTATTGAGCGGATGCCCATGCATCTTTTCTGAGAGCCGTTTAAGGATTTTCGGAGTAGCGATCGAGGAAGGAGGAAAGGAGGCGGGAGCGCGACGGCAGTGAATCTAGGGACTGTTGGCGGCATGTTGGAGGACGCGCACAACGTCGGTATGTGGGAGGAGGAAGTGTCTTGAACTCAACTCGATTGAACGAAACGATCAAGTTGCATGTTGCTTGTCGAAGCTCGATTTCAACTGCGGATTGAAACACCAAATATCAGTGGTTAGAATTTCGACCAACCAGAGATGGCCGTCAGACCCACACCAGCCATGTCCTTTTGGCTCCTTTTCAACCTCTTTTTGACGACCTCATACACATCAACAAGATCCAGCTGCGTCCATCGTTCCAACATGTCCAGCCATTTGTTGGCCAATCTTGCGTGTTCGACCTTTGATACATCCGACTGGCTACTGCCAACCTCGTATTCATGACCCTACATCATCCTACCCCTTCCCACAATCATTTGCGGGGTTAAAGCTTGCAACTCCTCCTGTCACAGCTCGGGCCTTTCCATAGTCACAAGATCCCGTCAGTCATGCCATCGATGCCCTAGCATACGCTCATGCGCAGAGCTTATTACCCCTCCCTCTTTTCAAAGGTCAATAGGTAAGGCCAGGTCTTGAAAGAGGGGAAATTGCATCAATTCCACCGGCACTTGTCTTTACCCTTCAATTGTAACTCCAAAGGCATTGTCTTGAAAAAACCACATGTGAAAATATTTCGATATGCAGCGACGGCCTTCCCTTGTTCCTGACCTGTTTCACATTAAACGGACAACCGTGGAACCTGGATCTCCTCCTATCATCCGTACTGAAATTTGCGGGACTTATACAGACCTTGATTCAGCCCAGAAGGTTGCACTTCGCCGCCTTGAGGATGAGGGATTACCTCGCGATACCCTGAGCGACTATGCGACGAACGACATCACCAACCCTTCATCAACATGGAAGCATGGGGAAAATGTCGTCGTCCATGCTCGAAAAGGCGATGAGATTCATGACGTCGAAATCGAAAGTACGCCGAATTCTCTTGGCGTTCGATCCAAGCCGGGTGATGGAAGAGTGGAGGATAATCTCTTCTATGTTCTTTGCACAGTCCAGGCTGCCGATGGATCCACGCACACCGACATCAGAGGAATACATTTATCTCGCCAGGCGGCTGTCGCCGCGGCCCGATATGAACTGGTGAGTGGTGAACGCAAACAGGATTGGTACAAAGAGTACAAAGAAGTCAGCGTGGTCCCCAAGGAGGAAGATGTTGAAGGACAACAGCTTGTTGTGACTGCAACCGGAGAGGAGGGAGAGAAGTACATTGTCAGTGTGATTCATGAAAGCTGAAACACAGGTTGACAAACCAGATTCCCGCGCGTTGGAGATCTCATACCTTCAATGATTCGGCGGGAAGAGTGGTCTTTTCCGATGCAAGTCCAATTTGGAGGCAGTGAACGAAATTCCATATTATTTGGAGGTAATGTATGAATTCAAGTGTTAAATTCCCTTTCCTTCTTCCTTCCCGTTCTACTCATGGATTTCTCTATTCCGCCACAGTCTGGGAATAATTTCGTGAAAAAGAAATGGGTAACTGATACATCGCGGACTCAAGCCCCGTGAATGAGCATATCCAAGGTCTCGCGGTCGATCTTTTCCAAGACTATAAGTAACCCCTCTCCTCTCGACAAGTACCGTCTCCCCATGTTCCTCCTGTCCTGTTTTTTTTTTCAAGCCCAAAACCGTTCTCTAAGCGGAGAAGAAAACCTAACCTTATTATACATATCACACTGTTTCTCCTTGAGCATGCTGGGTGCAAAGTTTCCTTTCTCTGCCTGACACATGCCTTGACACTTGTACGGGAGATCACCTTCGAGTTTTCAGAGACCTACAGATACTTTTGCGCTAGACGGCTAATGATGGATACTGAAGAGGATTGTACACGCTTGGCCCCACGAAAGAACGTGCCGATCGCGCCTTGGATACAACTACCCGGACCCTCGAACCCGAAGAGACCACAGATGCTGTTAAAGCTACGCAGCTTATTTGAGGCGAGCTACCCATCAATTTTTCCATGCCAGGATGTTTATTTCCGGACAGCCAGCTTTAGCAGCGAAAATACCATTTGCAGAGGGTAACTACGAAATTAACTTCAGCAGTCCGCTGGAGATTATAACTCAAAGTCAACGACCACGGCAGAGCCGACCTCCACCAAGAACTTCGGAAGCTCATGAGCAGACTGTCTTGTGCTTCGATGCCGATCAAGGGCTACGAGGAGGCCTTTGCAGACCTCGGCTTCTCACTAGAGTTCAACGCGGACGCGGACCTCCGGTTCGTTGATAGAGACCCGCCGCACACGAACCGTCTCCAGCATGACAGTACAACGTCCAATACGGTATTGTTGCCGTGGCAAATCAATGGCATCGCTACCAAATTAAGGCACGAAATCATATGGAGAGGGGAGCTCGATGCCCTGGATTGCGGCATGGGCAAAACTACTAAGGTCTTTGCGGCCATCTACTTTCGCGCCAAATACATCGATGAGCAGCTACAACAGGGGAAGGAGGTTGATACCCGCCCCACGCTGGTATTAACCCCAGGCCCGGTCCAGTACGAGTCGCTGAAAGAGCTACGCTCCTGGTTTCAGGGTCTTCTGTGCTTCCACGTCTTCTATGGGGCCGATCGGACAACGATGTCGACTGAGACCCGCGCAACCCTCCTACCTAGCGACGCCGCAGAGGCACATCAACTGATCACTCACATGGACCACCAAGACGTCGTGTTGTTAGTGTATGAGAACTTCCAGTCTCGCACGCTGGTAGTAATTCCCACCGAGCCCGGTGAGTCCCCTTCGAATCGTTCATACACTCACAGCCCCGCATCCCCGAGGGAGAGTGATACTTTTATTTGGTGGGACTCTGTAATAGTGTGACAACCGAACTAAAGTATCACTATCACCGCTTACCCTCGTCTCGAATGTCGACAGAATCCATGGCTAACATTGTCATCTAGATCACAAGGCAGTAGCCGACCCGAAATACAAGCTGGCCAGTCCGGCACCATCCACCGAGGATGCTCGTAGCCTGGAAGAGGACGTCGTGAAGTGTCGAACTCGAAGCATTTTAGCCCTGGCCATGATGAATGACGATGACGAGGACCTGGTGCACTCGGCCACAGCGTGTGCGTCAGTCTTCAAACGCCTGTTAAAGTGTCGTCTTCGACGAAGGTCACAAAGTTAAGAACAGAGCCTCACGTGTTCATTCGACTCGGTGCTGGAGACTTGGTGTGGATTGCTTCCCTGCGGGCAGTCAGCGTATACCTCAAGGAGAATGAAGCCCCTCCGCCTAACGTATCTATGCAAAGCCTCGATGACCGGAATTTTTCCAAAACGCATGGCAAAATTACTACCAGGTATCAAGAATGGCTTCTGGAAGCTGTATACGCCATCGGGATTGTATGCCTTAACTACATGACAGCGAAAAGACATGGAGGCTGCCGCGAAGCGGTGGACACCTTTACTCACATCAATCACGATACACCGTACCAGGGGTTCTCAATGGCTTGATGGCGAACTCCTCTTCCTGTTGCCACGTATGCATTATCGCCTGCATACGTTGCAAGCAGAACAGAAGACAATCGCTATGTGAACACCGAGATTGCTAGGTGGAGCTGGGACGAAGATGAACAGTCCGAACAAAGTCTAACAGCGTGCGAAATTTCGCTCAATCATCGGCGTACGCTGTCTTCCGAAAATGCGCCACAGCGCCCGGGATGGCCAAACTACCAAACCGAAAGATCAGCGCGAAGGGCTTCCCAAAGCCCCTTTCAAGTCCCAATCCGCCTTGGGACAGGGGTATTAACTGGATGCGGAAACAGAAACAGAGACAACTCCTGGACTATGAGGAAAGGTGTCAGACAGCTATCAGACGGGCCATACAGCAACTGTCCGACCGTCACATGTTGCCTATGAACGGCTCGACGCGCCTGGCATACGAGCTACCGGTCTACACAGGGATAATGCGTCCAGTTTGACGGTGGTACACCCACGGCACTGGCAGCTCACGGCATCAGCGCGGATGCATACCGGGTCATCATTTGCTCTGACGTCGAGACCAGGGCTATTTTCGCCCATACTACACCGGTAGCCCCTGTCCTGATCCCGTAAGAGCTTAGAAGCCGCCCTACCACCGTACCAGACGGACCTACCCCTGACAAGCATGCTCAAGGCAAAACAAACGTTTTGAAAGGTCCGTCCAGTACCTGGCCCGGCCATTCGATCCCGGCGAGAGAATTTTATCCAGATGAACGGCGATATCTTCGAGGAGATGTGCACCTTCTACAAAATTGACGTTGGACGGCATTGGGCGGGCTAAGCAGTATGACAGCGAATTTCGAATCAAGGGGTTGCGGGGCCCACTGAGAGTATACCAAACACACGGGGAATCCACGGTCCAGACTTACTTCAAGGGGAGCGGAAGTGCTACCACGAGGCCATGGAAATTATGAACACATACAGGCAGCCAATCGAGCACCAAATTTTATGCTCCTGTGAATCAGTCCCGCGCAGAATGTGCTACGCTGAGAAGCTGGTCACCTTACATCAACCACGCATCGTCTTGAGGCTGCAATACTCAGGTACTCTCGTCTTGATCTGGCCGGCGCAGACTTCGCCAATAAATCGGTCTCATCGCTTCCAATATCAGTAGAGATATAATTAAGGATGAGACGAGCGATATTGAAGCATCCCGTCCAGATGAGGGCTCCAGCGTTTCATCAACCCCTTTGAGCTGCTGCTGGACGGGTACAATAGCGAATTGTCTCAGAGATGTCCAATGTATCCGCCGATACAGGGAGATGTGGTCTGAGTCAGAACCCGACGATAGGTTCACCGAATACTTCATGGCTCCGGGGGAGTGGGCGATTAGATATATATTTTGCCTCCTCCCTACCGCTGTCTTACTGTCGGCTGTCTTAGGCCAGTCTTGGCTTGAGAACGGAGTTGATATTGTTGCGACAGTGTCAGAGCACTCAACTACTCCACCTTAAAAGTCACCTTGAGTCGAGCAAGAAATTCTCTCTGAGACAGTTCACACTTTCCAGAATACTCCATCCGTGCCACTTTTATATCGATCAACATGGCAGACTCCGGAACCCGAATACCAGCAGCGCATGATACCGGGTATGGAGAACGATCATGATTTCTTCTCGATTCAACTCTTTTTCATTGCTGATATATGGATGCACATGGTCCCCGGCTACCACATTCAACTGGGTATCCTACGCATTGTGGACAATACTGAAATCCCATACGTGCTGCACAATGAATACGCAAGCACTAGATCTCTGGATTCATCACTCCCCTGGCCACTGGAAAGTCTGGAACCTTTGACCGTAGAGGAAAACCCAGCAGACATTTACGACCGCGAGCACCTGGATGTAGATGAACAGAGGCTCGAAGTGACTAAAGAAAGGAAGAGAGCTGCAGCATCTAGTGTTTAAAGATGTTGTATCTCCCCTCCAGCTCCCAACTCTCCAGCTAACCATATTCCTGTCTTCATGTCCCGTTCCTGGGACAAGGACAAGCAGGAATTCGATACCGACATCGGTGCTCACTATGATTTTCGGACACGAATTCATGATGCCAAGGTCTACAGAGTTCGACTGCGAGCAATCGATTCCACTGAGCAGTCCAAGGGAAACTTCGTGGAATCACGTTGGATGCCAAGAGACTCAAGCGAGATATCCCCGGTCCACTCTAACTTGTCGATGCCCTAGCCGCTATGCAGCCGCACAAAGAGCATAACGACGTCAACCAAGCCTTCCCTACCTTTGGAAACTCAGACGACGAACAGGACGCGTACGATGAAGACAACTATCTCGGATTGGCCGAGGACGCAGTTGAAGACGACATACATAAGGACACCATGGATTAAGGGGCTATAGATGAAGACGAGGCCCTAGTTATCGTGAAAGAGGAAATATGAGCTACAGCAGAGAGCTTTTTCTCTCAGAACTCTGAAATATACTATCGTGAGGCTCAAGAGAATTCATCTCCACCTTCACCTCGCGGGCAGTCTACCTCCTTGTCAAAGGGACTGGGGGCACGAGAAGACGAGCAAAAAAACCGGGCATCGTCACCGGCTGCCTTCGTGACATGGGGGTCCAACCCCCTGTGTGCATGACGAGGTTTGATATCCACTTCAATACTCTTTTACTTCGCAAATCGGGCCAAGGTGCTGCCTGAGGAAGAGAATGGACCGATAACGTCGACGATCACGAGTTTAGCGATTACATTACATCTTTACAACCAGGCTTAGTCCTCCTCTTCCGCATCCACGTGACTAAATCACGTGAAAATGTTATGTAAGGCGATGTACGAGGAGCGTGTATTGTGACTAGCTTCTACGCTTGCTTCGCCCTGTTGCAAATCACCAAGCGCACGCATAATGCTTACAGCAACACCTCGCCTTTGGGCACAGCCTCACAGAGGTCCGCGGACCCTTCGCTTTTGACCTTCTTCATTCTTTGCTATTCTCATTGTATACATAATGCTGTCGTTATTCGCCCTCCAATTTCATGTCTGTCGGTTGGCATAACACCTAGTGATATTATTTCTGAGGGCAAGGCGATTGGCAAAGCCGTTTCCGCCCTCGAAGATGGAGGCTCCAAGAATGCCTTCCAAGAGGCCGATCTTGGTCTGCGACATCGCATTGCAGCGGCCCAACACATAGAATGGTTTGCGACCTCCTCCCCGCAATCTCCTCATACTACGGCTCTTACAGAAGCGGTGAAGCAATTGCGTACTCGAGATTAGGCTTTCAAGGGGAAGCACGACAAGTTTGACAGCGCCCTCGGCCTTCAGGCTACCTCGAGGCGGGCTCGCCGGGCTCAGCGCAAACTGGAATGGGCTTTCAAAGGAGAGAAATATTAGGAGGAATAAAGTAACCGCGTCGGAGCAGGTGTGGATGCCACTGTCCTATAGAGTATTCTGTAGGGCTACACATCCTGCACAGACAGGGACAAGATTGCTCGTTTTCGAACCTGATCTATCTCTGAATCGTCGGCAAAGCTTCACAATGAATCCCACAGGTTTTTGCAGACCAGTCACTCCAAGTTCGAAGAGCTGCAAAGAGGTTAGACCGATCTATCTGTGAATGCAAATACCATGGAAGGTCGAATTGATGCCTTAGCTCACAACACCGACGACATATCTCCTCGACGTTGAGCGGTATCGAACAAGGTGTCCAAGCGACCTCAAAAGATGTCGCCCACTCTATTGTGGAGAACATCAACAGGACTCATGGAAGTCAAACCGGCATAATGCGCGACGGGTTTCGCGACAACCATCGTCGGCTGCAATTTATAGTACCGAGGTTCGACGGTCTCGAAAGTCAAATGGCACTTTTCAGGCGCCCAGAGGACATAGACGTCTACATTCCCAGTGAGCTTTTCGGTGCCATCGTCGTACTCTTCTGCTTCTGCTACCATCGGTAAAATTTTCTCTCGCGATCTGCCAATCATACATGACACTGACGACGGACAGAAAAGACATAATCAGATCGTTTGCACGAGGACTTATAAATCATGCGTAAGATTATACATAAATGAGCCTCTTCCAGCGATTAACATTCTTCTAGTTCCGCCGACCCATCTTCTAACATAATGTTGTGTTTCACCCTATTGATGTTTCCCAAGTACTATTTCCGACTTCCACTTCGCTCGTTGTTAGGTGGAGGAGACACTGTATATTTCGAGGATGCTCTCGGGGCTCGTCACACCGCCCCCTTCGCGACTTTTGAGCATTTTTAGGGGCGTCCTGGTTCCAATGGGTAGTGAGACCGCTGCTGACTGTGTTGGACAGATTTTCCAGGCGTTCCTCGAGGTGAAGTTCGAGGGTCGTCCCGGACATGCCAAAGTGATGCGGGCAGAGTATGAGGTATTTTCAGGAAAGATCAGTGGTCGGATGAACATGCGAGAGGAGTGGGCCACTCACGTCAAACCAAAATCTCGGCTCGTCATGTCTATGGTAATTCCAGGGGTGGTTTTCTGCACGAGATGCAGCATTCCACTAGAGGAATACACTAATGAGTACAAAATATGGTGAGCAACCAGAATGAATGTTCATCTCTCTTTCGGCGCTGATAAAATCGGCCCCGACGGTGGCTAGACATGTCCCTTATTTGGCCATTGATCAAGATCCACAGAGTCCAAGCTCCTCAATGTCCATATAGGTCCCACGCCGCCCCAGACTGGCTCTGCCACTGAGATTGAAGACGGTGCCGAGGCTGACGAAGGGGCGAAATTCTTTAAACACGTACATCTCGACGTCTCCACGTCCACAGCAGAGCAGCCAGATGTTGTTAGCATGCCACGGGCTGCTGCGGCGCCGGACAACATTGAGCATCCGCCGGTGCAACAAGTCGACCCTGAGCCGCCGTAGCCCGAGTCGAACCGCCTAAGTCCATACCTGGAGCGACCTAACCTCTCCAGGGGGGAGAACCGGATGAACTATGCCGAGCATCCGGAGTGGCCAGAAGACTTGTTTGACCTCCGCGAACGTCCCGAGATAAAGAGACGCGTAGTTCCTGGTCTACCTCGACAAGCAACGTTCAGACGACGAAACTCGAAAGAAAGATAAGCTTTGTTCCCACCCTATGAGCGGCTTCTCGTTTCTATCCTGCCTCTCGAGCAACGTTTAGACGACATAACTCGCAAGCACGGGCTCTATCCCCGTCCTTCGCCAAAACTTGTGTAGAACCACCTCCTCTAACCGGCGGACTCTCCCTTTAGATTTCGAGATGGCGACAGAGTCGTATGGAACTAAGTCATTGTCGGTAATTGACACTCACTTCACGCGCAAATACGTCCTAAAAAATATTCTATCTCATCTGTCTATATTCATCTATTCATGCAATTTGTTGACCAGAGGATGCTCCTTCCAGGATTAAACAGATATGTATTGCAACAGAGCACTTTAGGGTTTGACATGCACGTGTAACAACGTACAGAGGCCTGCCCAGAAGGTCGAGAATCGAGAACGCGTTTCTGGTCGATGCTGACAGGGCAACACCGCCACCACCAACACCACCCCCAGAGAGGCAGCGGCTAGGGCAGCGAGCACCTAGCACGGCGACGGCATTGAGAAGTAGGAATGGGCTGATGAAACACTCAGGAATAGGTAGACGACATCAAAAACATGGAATACTCAGTCAATTTTTTAAAGAATGGCACGCTGCAAGCACTGCGAACTGTTCAGCGCTCCCCTTTAGCCCCTTTTCGTTTGACGTGTGACTAGACAACTCTCCATCCTACCCCTATACCATTCCAGCACAGCCAATTTGCCTTGTTACAGTATACCCTTGGAGCACTTATAAGTGTCGACTTTTACATTGCGAGTAAAAATATTCGACGTATTACAGTCACCAGTATACTGGTAACATGTGTCACGAGCCCACCGTTGTCCCCAAGTACCCTACGCCCTCCACCCGAATCGGGTGGACGGTATAGGAAGAAAAGGATAAGGCAAAGGATAGTTGAAGTATAAGCTAAGGAGAGCTAGACAAGGCTATCGGTTAACGCCGCCTTACCCTTTTCACGTGACAAAAAGAGGGGAAGCTATAGGAGTTTCCTCTCACCCGAATCAGGTGAGAGAGAATTCCTCCTTTTTAAGCGTTGAGTCGTTGTCAATAGGACTACGTGACATAGAACAAGGCATTCAGCTACTTTAATTCTCTGTACCTACTGCGTTGCGTAGGTCCCTGATAGGTATTGAGGATCTAGTTATGTGAGAGCGATATCGAGTGCGGCCACCCCAATGAGAAGTATTTAACGTGCCTTTGCAATGTGGGTTGGCACCCAGGGGTGACAGAATTGTGTGTGGCCTTCATGTATATATATAGAGAGAGAACGGACATGTGGTGCTATCAGTCAGCGCCATCACCAGGTAAGTACAAGTACCTTGAGGGAACGAGGGCACCGTCGGTCATCTTATATTTTAGGCTACTCACCTTCTCAATCTAGCACATGGAACCAGGGATGTGAAGAGCACTATCAATAGCATTAGGGTTGTGCATGTGTTCGGTAGCCCGCCTCACAAATGGACGAGTTGTTGCCCACAACAGTGCGGGCAAGACACCCTGGGCAAAAGCAGCTTTGAGCACTATTAACAAGGGTGAAAAGTGTTGTATCTGCTCGTCATCCAATCGTCATGAATTGAACGCGAGAGTGAGGAGACGAATCTTGAATTTTTGTTCACGAGAACGAGAGCAGAGCCTGTTTATATTCCAACTCCTCTTTCGACGCAGCTCGGTGCGGGTGTTGTTAATTGTTTGATATCGCCGCAGCGATGACAATTGCGACGTGATGAGACGGTGAATGAGATTAATAGCCAGTTTCCACAGGGCTTGTTATTGTTTTGGTACAGCCTTGGTCTCACAGCCTTTTGATCCTGCAAGACATTCGTCAACTCGTCTCATATCACTGTCTGTTACTGCAACATTGCCAACTGGATATTCAGCGGCGTTATTCTGCTTTTCTTCTTTTCCTCCCTCTTTTGCCGGCTTTCTATGTGACTAGCTCAGAATCAGCTTACGCTCACAATGTTGAAGACTTCGGCCAGATACGATTAAGCGTCAGCCGACGACGTATTGTGAGTAAATACGCATTGCCCTTCTCTTCTTAAAGGCGTACACTAATGGACTTGGGGTGGTGAGACTTTGCTTGACGAGGATCATATTGAGTCCTTGGATATGGAGGCTTGTTTGTGGGCCATATTTGACGATAAGGTGATCCCCGATTGAAGCAATTTTGGAAGATCGATCTGCAAGCACAGTGGCATTCTGTATGTCTGCAGTGCTTGGGAGGAGTCGCAAAAATATGGCAGTATTGGTTTCCGCATCGACCTTGTTTGGCAATGTCTCACAGGCTTCCTTGT